TCATCGTAAATTTGGATTAGACATGTAACATGTATAAATCATATTATCGCGCGTATTTTGACTTTAGACATACATATAAACCAATCCTGGGAGGATCATGGAGTGGATGTCCCTCCATCTCACCCAAGAGTGACTTGGGTTCGATTCTCAATCCACCCCTCGATCTTGTCCAACCCTGACAGTATAATCATACTATCATAATTTAGGTTTAGACATATATAATCATATTATCATATTTTTGATTTAGACATGTATATAATCATCATATTATCATAATTTGGGATAGACATGTATAACATATTTACTGAATAAATTTACAGGAAGTGCTTGCATATGCCCAGAATATAGACACTATTTGAATGGAGTGGAATTTGCTGATTCAATTAGCATGAACCCACACAAATGGCTCTTAACCAATATGGATTGCACTTGTTTATGGCTAAGGAACCCCAAGTTACTCGTCGATTCTCTTTCTACTAACTCTGAAATCCTCAGAAATAAGGCTTCTGATCTCAATGAAGTAATAGACTACAAGGACTGGCAGATTGCTCTAAGTCGTCGTTTTCGAGCCCTTAAACTTTGAATAGTCATTCGTCGTTATGGTTCGGATAATTTGATGGCTCATATACGTAGTGATATAGAGTTAGCTAAGCATTTGGAATCCTTGATTCAGAAAGATAAGCAGTTTGAGTTGATCGTGCCTAGGAAATTTTCATTGGTTTGCTTTAGACTTAAGCAAGTTAGTAATGATGGGAATTTGAATGTGATAAACCAGACATTGTTAGAAGTTGTGAATTCGAGTGGCCAAGCTTACATGACTCATGCAGTTATAGGGGGGAAATTTGCTATACGTTGCGCAATTGGAGGTTCAATGACTCAGAAGTGTCACATTGATAGCCTTTGGAAGTTGATTCAAGAGAAGGCTAGAACTATAATTTTCAAATGGATGGAAAACTATTTAGAGGATAAAAAAAATTCATCAAAATTAGAGGAAAAGTAGGTTTATTCATTCCTTAATGTTTGAGAATGAAATTCTTCTTGTAAAAGTTGTAATTGGATGGTTTGTGAGACTGTACTTTCATTTTTTTTTGTAAGAATAATTTGTCTAGAAGGGACATATGTATTTACTTATTTGTCTTAAAAACCTTATATATTTAAAGTGGTCTAAATAAACCTTATAAGTTTGTTTTGTTTTTTGGGGGATCCTTGACATCGAAATTCGGTCATTGACTTATTTTTTCCGACGTTGACCTCGCACGTGACTGTCACATTACTAAAAAAAATGTCCCTCCCCTTTTTTTTTCCACGTTTCTCCCCAATTCCTCTTTCTCTCTCCTCTAATCCCCAATTTCATTCTCTCTCCTTTAATCCCCAATTTCTCTCCAGAATTTCCCCAAATTCTTTCTCTCTCCTCAAGACTGTGGCTTCCAAACCCAATCCTCTTCAATATTTTTGACCAAATTCAGTCCATCTTATTTCAATTAACTACTTTCCGCACCTGGTAAGATCAATGTTTGCGATTTTTGTCTTCAATTTCTTTGTAATTGAAATCATTTGCAAATTAAGTTTATAATGGAATTGGTTATGAAATTATGTAGTTTTTTGTTAAAGCGTAATTTACAACATGTTTTTCCTCTATAAGGAAGATATCAAAGTGCAACTGTGGGCTTTCTCTTGCACAAAGAACATCATGGACTCGTGAAAATCCACACAAGAGGTTTAAATCTTGCAATTTTAGGGCATGCAAAAAACTTTTTCCTAAATCTTTAGCAGAGGAGAGAGAAAGAAATAGGGGATTAGAGGAGAGAAAACAGAGGAATTGGACGAAAACATGGAAAGGGGGGGGGGGGGACAACGATTTGCTCGCATGTGGGTAGGGATGTCAATGGGGTGGGGCGGGGCGGATGTTGACATTCCCATCCCCATCCCCGCGGCGGGTCTAAAATTCATCCCCATCCCTGTCCCGGCGGATACAATTCCAAAACCATCTCGCCCCACCCTTCACTTTGATATCCACCCCCACCTAATCCCCGTCAAAGACCCGCCTAATCCCCACCCAAGACCCACCTAACCTCCACCTTTCAAATACACAATCCTACATAATTAATAGAAAAAATTAGAAATAATAATCCCAACTTTCATCAATTTTGGTAGAATAATCCCAACTTTAGATTATACAGGAATAATCCGAACTTTAGGGGGTGTTCTTTTTCTTCAATCCCAAACCGGTCAACAAAAGTCAATGACCTACTATATCAGGTCATTTGACATTTGACAAGCTCTGATTGGTCCAAAAATTTTAAAAAAAATAATAATTAAAAAAACTAAAAAAAATAAAAAAACAAAAATAATAAAAAAATAAAAAAACCAAAAAAAAATCAGAAAACCCAGCCAACCCCCCTCCCCCACCGTCCCCTTCCTCTTCCCCCACCACCATAGCTAGACCGCCACCTCTCCCCTCTCCTGACCGCCGCCTATCCCCCACCCCTTGCATCGCCGTTTCCCCCCCTTCCCGAAACCCCTTCCTATTCCCCCCACGCAACCATCGAAACCCCAATTTCGCAGCCAACGAAACCCCAAAACGCAGCCGACGAATCCCCTGTATCGCAGCCACTGATACCCTAAATCGCAAATTCAAGGCTGTTTTGCAAATTTAGGGGTGATTTTTAGGTGATTTCGGGATTAAGGGAGTGGTTTCAAGTGAGTTTCGTGACAGGTGCCGACCGGCGTTCGTGGCTGGGAAATTGAGAGGAGAAAGAAAATGAAAAGGGGTTGACGTTTGGCCGGATTTCGTGAGTGGTGGCCAGATTTCGTGGCTGGTGGATGAATTTCGTTGATGGTGGTTGGGTTTCTTGGCTGGCCGGATTTCTTCTTAGCGGTCGGATTTCATGGCTGGTGACCGGCATCCATGGTTGGTGGTCGAGTTCAAGGATCTTCAGTTTTTTTTTTTTTTTTTTTTTTTTTTTTTTTTTTTATTAAATTTTTTTTACCACTTAATTTGTGACACGTGTCACTTAAAAAAAAAAAAAAATTAACCCATTCGACCGGTAACCGGTATTTGGGATTGAAGAAAAAGAACACCCCCTAAAGTTCGGATTATTCGAGAATACTTTAAAGTTGAGATTATTCTACCAAAATTGATGAAAGTAGGGATTATTATTTCTAATTTTTCCTAATTAATATAGATAACATTAAAAAAATATATATTTTAAATATTACACATTTTTTGTTTATAATATAAGTGTATTACAAAGTATTATAATTAATATTTTATGTTACATAAATATTTTATAAAATAGTACTCCCTCTGTTTCATAATGTTAGTCCCACATGTAATTAGTCACATAAAATAAGAAAAATAAATATATTTGGAATCTAACATTAAAGTACAACATAATTCATAATTAGTTTACCTTATTTAACTTTTTTGATTTTTTATTAGGAAAACACAAGACATAATTGCATAATTTAAGGTAAAAATTTCCTTACTTAAAGTCGTGTCATCAAATAAACAATCAATTAATTCCAAAAAAATCAAATAATAAATTAAATATATTCAATATGGGTAAATCTTTTTGAAACGCCCAAATAGTATACGGGACTAACATTATGAAACGGAGAGAGTATAAAAATATGAAATTTGTTTTAAAAGATATATAAATGTGGGTATAAGGTGGGGATGGGGCGGGTACGAAGTGGAGCAGATGGGGCGGGGCGGGGATGGGGAGGGTACAACCTAAAATCCACCCCCGCCCCATCACCCATGGCGGGTATGGTTTTCATCCCCATCCCCGCCCCACCACCCGTCAAACAAAGACCCATCCCCGCCCCACTGGGGCGGGTCTCCTACTAGACCCGCCCCACTGACATCCCTACATGTGGGTGTTGACCGTGTTGTAGAGCTAAAACCAAAAAGTAGTTTCTTAATGTTTTTCTCGCATTTTTGATAAAGTCTTCCCATTAAATAACTTTTATAAGGTTTTCAGTGAGTACATTTAAAATATTTATGAAGGAGGATTTGCATCAGTATATTAATAGAAAGATCATTATGAAACAGAAGGAGTGTCATATAAGGAAATATAATACTAGTAACTCATTATCTAACTACATGACCTAGGGCACTTGTTTGCAAGATCCTAATAATACCCCAGTGCACTTCCTCTCCTAAATTTGTATTTTTTTATTTATTTTTTGAAATAAAATTGATTCATAAATAAGCCATACGACATCTACAAAGAGATTTAGATCTAACAAATACATAATAATTGAATCAAATAAAAACATTCTGTAAGCAAAGCTACCATCGTTGTTGCAAATCGTACATTCTTCATACCCTCTTTCATATCGCTATGATTTACAGCCTTCTTCGGCGAGGGGGTCTATCGATCTGTTGTAGCCGTGCAGAAAATTTCCGTCTGATTCGTTCGATTGTTGTCGAAATATTAATCTCTTTTTCAATCCCGCACAAAACTTTACCCATGAAACAACTGTATAGCAATTCATGAAATAAAAAAGCAAATCTTCCCTCAAAAGAGAGAAGAAAAACCCGATCTTTCGAAGGAGCCAAATCCTTCTAAAGAGGAAGAAAAACACTGTCTTTCGAGGGAGAAATGTTCCTCCTAGAAGAGGAAGAACTATTATAAACCTAAAGCAAGAGAAAAGGCACAAAAGAAACAACGATTGAGACTTTCCACCGGTTGGAAGCCCCTTCAAAATTCAACAATGGAGGCTAGGGTTTTAGAGAGAGAACAGAGGAAAGAGTCCTAAATTTGTATTTATGTGAACGAGAACTGGGATTTTTATTTGGGGATGAATAAATATAATTGTATAACTCTCAGCTACTACTATTATTCAATGTTGTATTAGCAGAGGTAGTTCCTCTCTGGGTTTTTTTTTTTTTTTTTTTTTGAATGGGAGGTAGTTCCTCAATCGTCATCCCAGATATGTAATCCATACCCTAAAAATGAGATAATTTTAGCTCAGCTGTAGTAAACAAAGGCTTTGCTTCAAACGATAAATATGTAAGATATAGGCAATTTATATCAGTAGCAGGGAAATGTATCTGCCAGGGAAAAACTTGAATATTGCTGTCCTTAGATATTCAACATCACACAGTTTACAATACTATCTACTGTACTCAATGTATCTTTGTTGATGCAGAATTATGTAGTCCACTTCACAATGAATTCAAAACGACGACTGACAATGTGATCTAGTCTTATGCTGACCACCATGGTTCATCACCAGTTCTGAAATCTGTTTCGGTCCATGGAACGAACACCACCTTTCCATCATCAACATCACAATGTGCCAATGCCAACGACTGTCACACAATTACAGAACAAAACAGATTAGGAAATTTAAGATTTATCTACAACTGTCGTCAAAATTCACTATACTGAATTATACCCATCCTTCCCAAAGTAAAAGGCTTATTTGATTGTAGTCGTTTATAAGATGTTACGTTAATATACCATAACTATCACTCATTAGAAAATGTTTTGCAACTTCCAGGAGTCCTACCTCACCAATGTCTGACGTTTTTGGAATTTTTTTGGATATCATTTATGATGGTAGGGAACTTACAAAGTCTACCTTCTTTCTAAGGTGTCACGGATGTTATTAATGGAATTAACTTGACTTAACATATTTAACAAAATGACCTCCAGATTTGTTAAGGAAATGAACAAACTCCTTTCATCCTTTCCTACAAACAGTTACTTCCAAAGCACAGTAAATGACAGAATGAGCACTAGATGATGTTTATTTAGCTCGTTCTCTTTAATATACAGATGGGAGATGACAAGCTCTTTACTTCATCATAAACCCAAGGTCACTAACTACTCCAGTTAGCTAGCTAACGAAAGAGATGTGCAACAATATTTAGGGCTTACCAAAGGGGCAGGTCCTCGGACAACTCTGCCTTGGTTATTGTATTGGGATCCATGGCATGGACAGATGAATTTGTTCTCCGCAGCATTCCATGGAACCACACACCCAAGATGTGTGCAAACAGCATTGATTCCGTATGTTGCAAGAGTTTTGTCGTTCTCCACAACCAAGTATGTTGGATCTCCCTGATGCAGCATCAGTAAATTGTAACATTAAACTCAACTCCACCAGCAGCTGACTGATACCCACTAAAATTTTGTTTTCTTCACTTTAACACTTACAAATTGTTACTTATTCAGATCAATCAAGATAATTCAAAACAGACCAGACTAGGAAAATTCAAGAGCTGATTAAACCAGATAATAAAAACATCTTAAGTAAGGTGAAGTGAACATAGCGTCAGTATCATACTAGGTACATGAACATCATGCTGAATAACCAGTAATATAGTTGCTATAAAGTCTATGTACAACCCAAAACTGTTTATCAAGAATCACATCCTCAATAACAAACTAAACCAAGAGAAAGCCAATAAAAATAATATAATCTGCAATGACAGCAGGAACGGACACCAGTTCTGTTCTGGTCCATTATGCATAGCAGTATAGCACATAAGCACCGATTATAATATAATATACTTGTACGGTCCAAATAACTAGACTGCTTTGTAGAAAATTGTTTGCCTATGCTCACTTTTTACGTACTTATCCATACTGAGCTAGCGTGCAATAGAGAGACCAAGAGAAAAGGCAGATTATGAAGGATGGCAGAGATACCTTCAATCCTTGGGTAAGGGTCCGGTCCCCTGGTGCGTGTGTCTTAAGCCACTCAGCAGCAATGACATCATTGCCAAGAGCATCCTTAGCGATGGTACCACCAGCACCACCTCCTCCACTGTTGTTCACAGATTAAATTTAGAGAATAAAACTCGAATAGCATCAGTATGTTCAATGACTACAATGTACAAAGACATCATGAAGGTGCAGATATTAAACCAGAATGCAATAACAGTTTAATATTTTCCCAAAGAAAAGTATCAAATGAAACAAATGAATTTTTACTAAACTTTATTCATCTAGATGCCCTTATTACAAGAAAATAGATACAAATTGAGGAAAAAAGACCATAAACAGGACACGTTTGCTGAATATATCTGCCTCACCTAACAAATCCACACCTAGGAAATTCAAGTTCATCTTGAAGATAAATGAAGTATGTGATATACTTGTTACAACATCTCATATCATATCAATAAATTTTGATTGCTTAGTAAATTTAAACCAAAATTCGATGACAAATTCAATTTTAATCAATTTGATTTACAATCGAGGAATTATAATATCAAATGGCTTATGTTCATTTCAGAGTAACTAACAAAGTCAATAGTAATGAACTAGACTCATTCTGAAGGGTGGTCTTACTCAATGTTAGTAACACTTACTAATTTACAAATAATAAAAAGGTCAATGATAGTACTATATAACTCTAATAAGTATAAGAAGCTTATTTAAACTGAAATAATAAGCATTAATAACACTGATTGATACATGATTTTGTCGACATTTTAAATTGAGACGAAGTAGCTTACCCAGGTGGGACAAAGAAACCTGCATAAGGAACCAACATGAAACCAGTAGGAAGAGAAATGGCACCCAACAACAACAAATTCATTAATTCTCTTTTTTTCATGTCAGGCACATCATCTGCTGGAATGCTAGTAGCTTGGCATGTTAGCTTCATCCCTCCTACTCTTTCCTTTCCAATCAAAACATTAACTCTACCCGCTTTCGCCAAAGTCAATGATGGCGCGAACATTCCACTCTTGCTCGAACATAGCTAAACATCCAACGCACAAAAAAAGAGGGTCAGTAGAAAAAAGTCGCAATAATGCTGACTGGATTTAATCACATGTTTTTAGTATCACCCTTCGAGACTTTAACAAGTAATGAACATAACATTGTGTCGTGTCCTGTCATATGGAAGAGTACATACCTGAGATGGGGTGGCAGATGAGAGGGTGGAGGATGCCATAGGAGCTTATTGTTGTGAAAGATGCAATTTGTTGAAGATTAAGATGATGGGGTTTGAAAAAGGGTGTTGATAAATCGAAGGCATTGAGCGTCTAATAGTAAGTTGATAAATATGTGGTGGGTTAAGCCACGAACGATTTTGTGGATAAGGTAACTCGATGGGTTGGAGTGGGATAATGTGTTTTATACTATAAGGAGCCACACGTTCCTTCTTATATTCTTTTTTGAAATTTTTTTTTTTTTTGAACATTTTTGTAATGATGTAATTCAAATAGCGAAAATTGAAGTTCATAAACACAAAATGCAAATTTCTCAATCAATAACATATTGTTTAAATAAATAGTGTGAATGACATGTGTCACTTATTAGTGATGTTTTTTCCTTTACTTTTAAAACAAAATCTATTACAACCCCTAAACATATGATATTGTGATGAACATATGGAAAACAAAATAGTTTCGCTTAACAACTCAGTTGAACCCGTGCGATGCACAGTTTATATAAAACCTAATTTTAATTTGTATATTTAAAAAATAAATCGCTATTATACATGAATATAAATAAGAATTACGTATATTTTGTAATTTTAAAATTTTTAATTTTCATCAAAATTATGATATAGTATATGTTCAACATTGTCTAATTCATAATTCAATGTAGGAGGTCATTTATTAGTGTACTGTTTACAATTGTTTCAATTTTCTATGATAAATTGATAGGTTTTAGTTGTAATGTAAAAGCTTCCAATATTTAAATTTCAAAAATATTAAATGTAATAGCTCTACACAAAAAAAAAAAAAAAAACAAAAAACAAAAGAAAGATGACATCATTATTGCATTTGTGTTTCAAATTTGTGCTGAAAAATTTCAAATTTGGGCATGGAGATGACCTCGATCAAAGCAAAACTAGAGAGTGCTTCATCACAAGCACCAATTCTTATATTTCTATAGTTTGTGTTTTCCTTAGTTAATTTTCTATTTTCATGCATTTCTTAGTTTATTTTACCTTTTCTCCTTTATTTATTTGCTTATCTTTGATTTTCAGGAGATTGGTGATGTTCAAGGAGCTCAATGGCTTTTTCTCAGGATTTGTAAGGCTCAAGATGCATGCCGATCTCTCCTTTTGAAGCTCTAATGTTAAGGGGTGCAAAGTCCAAGTATTCTAGGCCGTGCTCTCAAGCTGCGTGGGCATAAAAAATGGTGTTGAACCCACCGTGGAGGCCTTCGGAAACTTCTACCCCCAAGATTCATCAAGTGGAGTGCACGGAAGCATCAATGGTCGCACAAGAGGAGCTCCCCTGCCCCTAGGTGCGGGCGTGCACGAAGGTGGCACGGGCGTGCAGAGTAGGGGCCACGACCGCACAGGGGAGTGGTGCGGCCGCACATCTCATCTTTCTTCGTTTCGTACCCATTTCTTCGCAGCCGCGCATGATGAGGAGAGGGCGCGCCTATTGGGGTTCGTTTTGGATGTCTAACTAACTTCTCGTTTGTTAGTTTTACTATATAACATGAAGATTTTTATTTAGATTGGAGTTTAGAGAGAGAAGCTCAAGAATTTGGGAAACTTTGTTCTTAGATTTTAGAGAGAGAAACTTGGTAATTGATGATTGCTACATTTTGATCTTCATTCCTTTTTATATTGATAAAAGTTTTGTAAGAATTGCTTTCTCTTTAATGCAATTTTAGTGTTTGATTTTTGATATATTGTTGAATTTCCATAGTTTGTTTGATTTCATCACTAGGTGAAAAAAGGCATTTGGCAGCGGTTCAAACCCGGTCTAAGGCACCGGTTTGAACCGCTGCCTATGTGAGGGGTGCCAAAAAGGGGGCCAAAAAGGCACCGGTTCAAACCGGTGCCAAAAACCGAAATTGCCACCGGTTAGCCGGTGCCAAAAAGGCCCACAAAAAAATATTCCAAAATTTTTGGCACCGGTTAACCGGTGCCAAAAACCCCCCAATAATCATTTTTTTTTTAAATTTAATAAACTAGAATTAAATGAGAATACCAAGTATGAATCGAACATCACAATCAATATAATTCAATCTATTCAATATATATATATGATCAAAAAAAATTACAGTATAGATCAATAAAAAAATTACAGTATATAAATCAAAATAAAAAAATTACAACATATAAACAAATAAATAAAATTACAATATAAATCACAAAAAAAAAAATTACAACTTCACAATATACTTGTATCTTGATTCTTCAATTTAAGATCTAAATCCATATACCTGCACCAATTAAAACAACCAAAATGAATCGATTAACATGATTTAGCTGCGAAAAAAATAAAAAAAAACCCCAAAAAATCAGAAAAAAAAAGAAAAGAAAATCAATTTAAAACCTAGAAATAAACCCAGAACATCAAAATCAAAAAATAAAAATATATAAAAAAACTCAGAAAAAAACTCGATTAAAATCAAAATTAAAATCGAAAATCAGAAGAAAAAAACCCAGACAATTAAAAAATTTCGAGAGAAAAAACCCAGAAATTAAAAAAAATCAAATTAAAATAACTTTAAAAATCGATTAACCAAACCAGAAAATTGAAAATCACTTAAAAAAATAAATTAAAATCGATAAAAATAACAAATAAATCGATTAAAAAAAAACAAAATTCGAAAATCAATTAAAACCCAAAAAATAAAAAATAAATCGAATTAAAATCAAGAAATAATACCCTAATCTTGCTCATGCATGTGTTCGTGGTGGATTAAACCAAAAAAAATTCGAAGAAACCCATAAAAAATTTCGAAGACACTCATAAAATCAATTAAACCCAAAATTAACTTCGAACAAACCCAAATCAACTTGTATTAACCCAAAATAATCAATTTCGAACAAATCCATAAAAAAAAACACCCAAAAACGCATGCATTAACCTAAAATCGATTATTGTAGCCGAAAATTAACCCAGAAATCGAAAAACAAAATCAAAATCGAAAAAAAAAACAATCAAAATCGAAAAAAAAAACCCAGAAATAGAAAAAAAAAATCAAGATCGAAATCAAAAAAATTAACCCAGAATAACCCACAAATTGAAAACACCCAGAAATCAAAATAGTTGAAATCGAAAGAAAAATTGAAATTGAAAGAAAAATCAAAAGCCTAGAAAAAAATTGAAATCTTAAAAAAAAAAAAAAACCGAGAAATCGATAAAAAAATGCAATCAAAATTGATGGAAAGAAGGGTTTGAAAGAGAACGAGAAAGGGATTGAAAGAGAACGAGAAAGAGATTGAAAGAGGAGATGAGAATGAGAGCAGATGAAAGAGAAAGGGATGAGAGAGAAAAGATGAGCGGCAAACATAGAGTGTTTTGTGAGTGAATTAGCTTTAGGGTTTGAGACTTAGAGTGGTATATAACCTTATATATAAATGGAATAAAAAAAAGCCGTTTTTTTTTTTAAAAAAGGATTGAACCAGTGCCCTTTGTATTTTTGGCACCGGTTTGGTCTGAACCGGTGCCATTTCTCTTTCTCTAACCCGCCCATTTTTAGGCCACTTTTTGGCACCGGTTTGGCCTGAACCGGTGCCATTTGGGGGTTGCCTTTTTGTATTTTTCTACTAGTGCATTGTTGATATTTTGATTACAATGTTGATGATGAAATTGATGATTAGTTTAGTTATGCTTTTCAACTTTATAATGTGTAGTGAGTAGTTCCTTTGCTAGGGATGTGGTGAAACATGTATGAATGATAAGCTATAGCTAATTTGGGGGTTTTGATTGATTTGATAATGTGATAAAATTGATTGATGGAATTCGTGCATGTGTTTGATTTGATGAGGAGTATCTAACCTTGATTGTCAAGTTAGATTGCATATTAGTTTTCATTGATACAACACATTGATTAGGAAGCTATTATTATCGATTGATCTTGTTTTGCGATTTTTCTTTGATTATCATTCGTAGAGATCACTAGCTTGACATTAAGAAATAGCTCTTCAAGTGATTTTGATTGAAAATATCATTTTCCCTTGGATTGTTTGATTGATCAACTTCCCGTTAAATTAGCACATTTTTCATGAATGCATGTGGATCCTAAATCCCTAGTACCTTGATATTGATTTCTAGTTTTAGCTTTGATTGTATTGATTTGATTGTTTTGACCAAACCATTTGCTTAAGATTTCAGAATAGCTTAACTAGAGACCATAGCTTATACCTTATTCCCTTGGGTTCGACCCGGACTTACCCCTATACCTAGGGTTGGGTTTGGTTATAATTTTTGTTTGATTGGGGGGATTCTTAGAACTCAACGACAAGGTTTTCCTGCCATCAAAATGGCGTCGTTGTCGGGGAATGGCATGGTTATTTTCCATTGTTTATTGAGTCTATTCCATTTTATTTGAAAATACAAAACGATTTTATTTCTTGTAGGCTACACTTGTAGCCCTGTTTTCAATATTTTCCTTTGAGATTTGTATGCATAGGGCACGAGATCAAAATTTAGTGTCATTTGATGCAAAAATTGAGAGGACCATAACAAAGATACGGGTTGCTAATCGTTCCTTCAGTTCTATCTTCAAGAGGGGAAGATCAGCAAGAAGAAGAATAAGAACGAGAAAGCATGGGTGTTAATCCGAGAGTGGCATTAAAAGAGTTAGGAGCTCCGGGAGCCTACAAGTTTGAAAACGTAATTGCTCCTCCCACGACACCGGCAAATGACTCTGAGATTATACTGGCGATGATTACATTGATAGTGAGGCGTCAATCTAGTGGAGGAAATCATGAGAGTCCCCTCAATCATTTCAAGGAGTTTGAGAAATATTGCAATATTATCATGGTGCAATATTATAAAGGTGAATGGGGATACTCAAGAGTTCATTCGACTTAAAATTTTCACTTTTTCTCTTATTGGACGTTGTAGGGAATATTTCAAGGGTTATCCCTAGCTTGAACCCCACTGTGATCATACACTAAAGTATGGTGGCGTCCAAAGGGAAAGAAGATAGAGCAAAAGAGTCGCCAACAAGTTTTTTTCGTAGGAACTTGTAAACCGTTCACGAGGTGAAGGTTACACCCCTTAACGATCCAAGAGATTTTCAACTCCAATAGGTCTTGAACCATGAGTGGTAGTTCGGGGATGAAGGTAAAAATCCAATCTAA